AAACCCCTCCCTTTATACTTGAAATTCCAGTACTCTGGATATTGAGGCAGGAGGATCTCAAGTTGGAGGCTATCTTGGGGTACATAGTAAGACACTGTCTCCAAAACAGGAAAAAAAAAAAAAAAAAAAAACTCCTTCTAGAGCAGATTTTCCTTACTTTTCACCTTCTCTAAACACATGCTGTGTGGGGGATCGAATCCATGCTGTATAGAAACACTAAGAAATTCAGGTATAGAAGAGCCTAAATTTGAAAGACAATGTGGTCTGTTTCTTTAGAAGCCTGTAGAAGTAATGGAACAGATGGCACTTCCTCTCCTTCCTTTCCAGCTCTGTGCTGACTGTGAAGGTCAGGCCTCTACCAGGATGCCCCCCTGTGAGGAGAACACACAAGGTGATCCCCTCCTCACACAGGTCTTCCCTGTTTTCCTCCTCCCCTTCTTTGGCTCACTGAGAGCCTTTAGCATAGAAAAGTTACCACCAGTTCTTCATAGAGTTTCACAGCACCCAGCAAGATCCTAGAATCAAATGGTCAGATACTGTCCTCCACGGCAGCAGCCATCCCCAGCCAGCTGTGCTGCGTGCTCTCTCATATGGCTCCATACCTAAGGAGGCTTTTTCTCCTTTTATTCTTATTTCATTTCTAAAACGATTCTATGGCTGGATGTGATAGAGATGAATCCCACTTTGCAGACATGGAAATGCAGTCCAGTCAACCTGAATGAATTCTCTTTAGGCACTAGGACAAGAGAAGAAACAAAGCTAGGAATTAGGACCTTCTAGCCATAAGCCCCAACGTATTTCCATCTACCTTAAGCTACTTCAAATCAGACAACTAAACAAAACAAAAGTTAATTATTGTTATGCATGCTGAGACATTTCCCTTCTTTTAAGAAGAGGGATTATGTCTAAAATCATACCCATTTTTTTTTTAATTTAGGATGCTACATAGCAAACCTTTACAGGATAATTTGAGATGAGGCCTGGTCTATTCTCTGCTCAAGGGAGGATAACAGGGCTATTCAGTGCACACAGAGCTGCCAGCAGGATGTCAGAGCTATTCACTGCACACGGAAATGCCAGCAGGATGTTAGGGCTGTTCAGTTCACACAGAGATGCCAACGGGAACTACCTCTTTGCTCAAATCCACAGCAGGGTGATCTTTCTTCCTTTCTGATTTGAACTTTTCCATTTTTATCATTGTTTAGAGACAGAAGAACTAAGTTCAAATAGGGTCTTCAAAGCCTAGCCTTTAAATACCGAGTCCATTAGGACACAACTGAAATTAGACTCTGGGAATGTCCCTTGGTAGAGGTCATTGTTAATGGATTTTCTAAGACCCAGAGTAGAACAATTGGCCCCAGAAAAATCAGAGAAGGGAACTTAGCTGCTGCTGTTGTGTGGCCAATGGTGTCTGGAATATCATATCTTCCTAAAGTTGCCATCTTGGGAAGGCAGAAGGTTAGACAAGACATCAAAGGTTACATACATGGAGGTCTGGACAGTAGGATATTGTTTTGATGCACTAGTTTGAACTCTTAGTAAATGTGTCCTAAGCTTTCCCTTCAATATATCTGTTTATATTTTTCTATTTCTCAGTGGTCTGTGAGAAACTTGAAGGATGTAGCTCTATTTTGCTCAAATTCATCCTCAGTGTCTATCTGAGAACAGAAAAATTAGCACCTGATAAGTGCTTGAAATAAATTTTAAATGATTAGATCACTTCTATTTGTACTATACTTCAGGCATTTTAACAGTTTACATGTAGACCCAAGGACTACTGCCATAGAAGGAGAAAAATTAGGTTCTGAAGTTGTTCTCTAAGTGCCATGGGACTTGAATTGACTTCAAATTTCTAGAACATTCAGTTTTGTCACAACACAAAATACGTTATTTGTGAAAAACAGAAGGGCAGTCAAGTATGGTGGTGCACACCTTTAATCCCAGCACATGGGAATCAGAGGCAGGTTGATTCTTGTGAGATTAAGGCCAGCCTGGTCTACATAGCCAGGTGGGGCTATAAAGAGATCCTGTCTAAAAAAAATGAGACAAAAAACAGAGGTGCAGCTGTACAGTTGGGGGGATGATTAGTGTAGGAGCACAGTACTCAAGAAGTCATCAATGATACATGGAACAATTATAAGAACCTAATAAGGGTAATGGCAATGTTTGTTTGCGTGTATATATACTTGTACACACACATGTATATGCAGGTACATGCACAGGCCAGAAGCTGATGTCAGATGTCTTTCTCTGTTTTTCTTCACTTTAATTTTTGAGGTATTGTCTCTCACTGATCCAGAGCTCACAACTTGTTAGACTAGACTCTAAGCAAGACCCAAGATCCTCTTGTCTCTACCTTCCCAGCCTTGGGATTATAGGCATGTGCCACTCTCTCTAGCTTTAGGTGAGTTTGGATGATCAGACCCAGATCCTCATGCTTGCATGGTAAGCATTTTATCAACTGATCCATCTACCAAATCCCCATAGCACTCTTGTATACATGCTGAAAATGGTTCTTTGCTTTGGGAAACTTACTTCTAGATTTGGATATCAAAAGGATTGTGGATTATTATTACCAATGGACAAAGGACTATTGCAAATTAGAGAGTGATTAAAATTGCAGACATGGATAGTTGAGGCTCTTAGCACAGAAAAGAATTTAGATGCTGTGTTGATGTTTGACAACTACGTGTGTATGTGCATATGGGCTCATTCTCACATTTATTTGAGGTTTCTTGTCCTTTGGCGTATGTGCCTGTATATGTGTGTACCACCCATTAGCTCTGTCACAATGGCAGTAAATCCCAATGGCAGCTTGGCATGGAGGTATGCTGCTTAGATCCTAGCACACAGGAGGCAAAGGCAGGCTCTATGAGTTTGAGACCAACCTCGCTGATATAGCGAGTTCCAGGCCAGCCAGTGGTACATAGTGAGACACTGTCTAAACCTCCCCCGCAGAATTTAATGGCACTGTGTAAACATTCTTGTGTGCAGGTGACCATATGTGTACAGGTATGTGTGTATCCTGATACATATTCAAGTGCTTGTGGAAGCCAGAGATTATCCTTGGGTGTCATGTCTCAGGTATTATTCACCTTAAATTTTGAAATGGTCTCCCACTGGCCCAGAAGTCACCAAGTAGGCTAAGGTGGCTGGCCAGTAAGCCCCAGAGATCTGCCTCTTTCTTGTTTTGACCCCCTCGGTGCTGCTGGGTTTACAGGAGCCCACCACCGAACCCAGCTTTTTCACCTGGGTTCTGCCGACTGAGCCAGCTCCCCAGCAATATCTGATGCTTTTCCTTTTTTTCTTTTTTTATTCCTTTATTGAGACAGGCTCTCTTAAGAAAATGATTGTGTGTGTGTGTGTGTGTGTGTGTGTGTGAGAGAGAGAGAGAGAGAGAGAGAGAGAGAGAGAGAGAAAAGAGGAAGTGCTTTGAAGTATACATACAGCTTTTCACCCTCACCTTTGTGTCAGGAGCCAGGCAGCCACATGCTCCATCTCCTCCTGGTGCAGCCTTAGCCACAGAACCAAAGAGCTACCATTACTAAGATTCTGATGTCTTCCCTGGTGGGTGTCTGTCTCAGTTTCATCTTTGTCAAACACCTCAAAATATTTTTCAAACATTTGCATTGGGAGAAGCCTAAAGCACAGCTTACCAAGTTTTTTTTTTTTTTTTTTAACATGCTTAACTAGAATTTAATCCTTGTGTTTCTAATTAATTTTCTTGCAATCAACTGGAAGGCATCTCTGCAAAATCTACTGAAAAAACAAGCATGATTCTATGTAAATGTTCTTCTAAAATGTCATATTGGTTCCCCCCAAGAGCCTTAATATCATAAAGTTTGCCTTGAATGGCACATTTCAAATTCGTTTTGAATGAAATCTGTCTAGATTTCATGAAGTCATTTTTCAATGTCCTGCAGAATCAATTGTGTACAAAATGAAAAAATAGGAAAAGAATATTGGCACTGTGAGGCTGACTAATTGGTTGATTGATTGGTCCTTTCTTCTGTCTTCCTGCCTTCATTATTTACCATCCCACTCTTTTAACATACCTTTACACTACGACTGTCATACAGCTGATTCCTTGCTGAGGATCCACAAATAATGTACTGACTAAAGGAAGATACAGACAAATGCATTGCCACAACATATTGATGACTGAGTTCCTTACCCTGTATTGTCTTGTGATGTTATAACAGAACACCTGAGACAAAGTCATTATAATCAACAGTTGTTGGCTAACAAGGTCCTGGCATCTAGCAAGGCTAACATGCTGGGTCACTGTGTGACAGAAGGCAATAGGGTGAGAAGCTGTAGACCTGAAAGCCTTCTTTTAAAGGCACTGAACCCATCCATGATGGTAGAGACCTTATGGCTTAATCACCCTTTAAAGACGCCACCTCTTAGAACATTTGCAATTGCAAATTAAAGATTGTATAAAATCTGAGACTATTCTCTTTCTGTTCCTGCAATAAAAGTGGACTATTAGGGTAAGTAGCTCATTTTCCACTGGCTTCCACACAGCTTGGAGTAAGCTACTCAAAATTATCCTATTCTGGATAGACATGTTTATTGCAAGGGGCTTGGAGACTGAAGATGGGAAAATGAACAATGCCCCCTTCCATTAAGAGTCTCTCTTCTTATAGAGTAAACTCACAACCATACTGTAAGGTTTTGCTCAAATGCTCAACTAAAGGAATGGATTGGTAGCTGAACTTTGGACTCAAACAAGTCTTTCTTAGAATTCTAGCAACACTACTCTTTAGTGCTATGAGCTTGGATACCTTTGATTTTTATCTACTTCATCTGTAAAAGGAAGTCATACTGTTTTAGGGTTGTGAGATGTAAATGTAGTAATGTACACTGAAATAAGCAACCCCCAAACTCTTCCAGAGAAAATGAGTAATAAATGATTTAGTTAATATCACAAGTTTTCTCTTTGTGGAACAATTCTTGTCAATAGCATCTGACCTCTCCCTCTCTCCCTATCTTTTCAGACAACTGTGATGACCCATTAGCATCCCTGCTCTCTCCAATGGCTTTCTCCAGCTCCTCAGATCTCACTGGAAGTTCCAGCCCAGCTCAACTGAACTGGAGAATGGGTAAATACAGTGATGGAATCCCTAAAACCAAGCATTAAGGGAGGGTACAGTGAGTGCCAAGAAGGGAGGGAGCACTGCAAACATAGGGGTCACATCCAAACTCGCTGTCCAGAAGGAACTAAGAGGTTAAATCTACTGTAAAAGTGATTAACAACGTGTAATGATGTAATGGATAGTAAACAAACTGAATCCTCCAACACAAAGAATCATTACTTTTTTCTGAGGTACTGGTGATAGAATCCAGGGCATCATGCATTATGCATTATAACGGGAGGCGCAGAGGCAGGCCTGGTCTCTATTAGTGAATCCAGGCCAGCTGCAGCTAGAGGGAAACCTTGTCTCAAAAAAAAAAAAAAAAAAAAAAAAGTACTCTCCCATGGACATACATTCCTATCCTGTGAATTTTGTGTGGGTTTGTATGTGTGAGTTTGTACATGTATACTTATTTGTGCACATACCATGCCAGTGTGCATGCATATAAACATGTATGAAGTGTGTATAGAGGCCAGAGACAACCTTGTGTGTCATTTCTTAGGTGTCACATACTTTGTCCTGAAGCAGGGTCTCTCACTGACTTGGAGTGCACCAAGAAGGCTAGGTTCCCTGCCCAGGAAGTCCCAGGGATCTTCCTGTCTCTACAAAGTTGAGATTACAAACAAGCTCTACCATACCTGGCCTTTATACATGGAATCTGTGGGACTGGCTCAAGTCCTCACATTTGCAAGGCAAGCAACACTTTACTGAGCACACTGTCTCCAGCCTGCAAATTTTTTTTTTGATCATCATCATAAGGTACATTAGAAATTGTTTTTTTTAAATTGCTTTATTTTTACATTTCATATGTCTGAAAAATAGCTACTAAAGCATATTTTATAAGTTTATAAAATGTTTAGCAAAATAAGTCAATATTTTAATTTCACTGGGAAATTTATATTGCTATTTTAAATATATATGCATATATATAATTTGATTAATCAAAAGTAAGAACACAAATAATCTGTAAGTTTACCAGCTAGAAATTACCATGGTTAAATGCCTGCCTTGTAACTTTACAACCTGTGCTACAATCAGAGTAGATAGTCTTGACTCTTCCCTAACAAAAAGAGTTTTAACCAACATAATGTGCAATATCTATACATAGTTTAATCAGGTTTCAGTATTGATGTTGTAATGTGTATAAATGTGAAGAGATATAGATGCCTGTATTATTTCTATTTTTGTCATCTTTATATATGTGTATGTGTGTATTTATTTATCATTGATCCTCTGAGAATTTCATACATTGCATTTTGATCACAGACCCCCTCTGCAATGTCCACCACTTCAACATCCCACTTTACCCCACTTCATGTCCTCTATTATTAGGGTTATTTGGGGATTTTTTATTTGTTTTGTTTTTGTACAGGGTCTCCCTGTAGCCCCAGCTGGCCTGGAGCTGGCTAGGTAGATCAGGCTGGCCTAGATCTCACAGAGATCCGCCTACCTCAGCTTCCTGAATTCTGGGTATTAAAGACATGTACCACCATGCCCAGTTTATTTCTGTTTTTTTTAAAGGCCTGTCAGTGTTAACTTATGTTCCCCAAGTCAACCTACCCAGCATCACACCCTAAAAGGAAACTGACTCTCTCCTTCTAGAGGCAGTTATTAATTACTAATGTTCTTCGCTGAGGACTGAGATTTCTTGCCCATCTTCCCATCTATGCTGAGATTTCCTTCCTTGAGCTTGAGCAGGTCTTGTGTGTGCTGTCATAAGCACCAGAGGTTCATATACGCAACAGCCCTGCTACTTGGACTGCATGGATTCCTTACAGTCATCTACCACCTCTGGTTATTGCAATCATTCTGCTACCTGTTCAGCAGCGTCCCTGAGCTTTGGGAGGACAGGGTATGATATCGATGTCCCATTCAGGGCTGAATACTCTACAGTCTCTTATTCTCTGCATGTTGAATAGCTGTGCGTCTCTGTGTTAATCACCATCTACCACAAGAAGGTCTCTGATGAGAGCTGAGTGATGCACTAGTCTATGTGAATAACAATAAGTCATTAGAAGTTAGTTTAATATAATGTCCATTTAATAGAATAATAGTAGTAGATTTTCTCCTGTGGCCTGTGACTTCTCAAGGCACAGATTCTTGACCATGATAACAGGGTCAGTTACAGCCTCTATCTTGTGATGTGGGCCTTAAATTCAATCAGAAAGTGGCTTGTAACTCCCATAATATTTGTGCAAAAATTGCACCAGCAGGTATATATTGCCAGTCCAGTTGTTATTATAACTCACAGGGTTTACAACTGGATTAGGTTAATAATTACTCTTTTTCTTCTGGTAATATACATAGTATTTTCTAGCATTGTGAAAGCTAGCCAGTAAGATGAAGCTTTGAGGTCAGCACCAGCTTGATTTCTTCTTGTTTATTCTATGACTCAAGTATGTAGTATCTTCAGTAATAGGGTCTTAGCATCAAGTTCCTGCAGGTAAACAAGAGTGATGGTAATAACCAGTATTATGTAAGGGTCTATGGGGCACCCCTGGTCAACTCCAAATGAGGGAGTTCAATCCTCATATTGCATTTTGCATGTGCTAGCCTGTGGAATTTTTAAAGACTTTAACTTCTAAAATATGAATAACTGGTTAGTGTTATTAGCTTTTTCTGGTTAAAAATATTGAGTGCTGGGGCTTGGGAGATGGCCCAGTGGGTAAAGTGCTTGCATCATAAACATCAGAACTGGAGTTTGGATCCCCAGAATCCATGGAAAAGCCATGTGTGCTTGACAGTGCACCTGTAACCCCAGTGTTTAAGAGACAGAGAGAGGCAATTCCTAAAGCAAGGCATATAGCTGGACTAGTCAAGCAGATAGTTCCACTTTCAGCAAGACAGCCTGCCTCAATATATTAGATGGACAGCAGTGGATTCTAGTTTCGCTTCTGTGATATGATTAAAAAAAAAAATCTGATGAGAAGCAACTTAGAGGGCCAGGCATGGTGGCATACACCTTTAATCCCAGCACTTGGAGGCAGAGGCAGAAGGTTCTCTGTTAGATCCAGGCCAGTCTGGTCTATATAGTGAGTTTCAGGCCAACTGGGACTATAGGGAGACTCAAACAAACAAACAAATAACAACAAATGAAAAAAAAAATCAACTTAGTAGAGAAAAGGTTTTATCTCAGCCTACAGGTTACAGATCATCATTGAGGGGAGTCAAGGCAGGAACTCAAGTAGGAACTTGAAGGTAGGCTTGCCTGTCATCCACACAGCATCACCCCTGACCAACTAACTCACTCACAGCCAAGGAAACCATGCAATAACACTTCTTGCTGGCCTGCTGACAGGCTCAAGCTTAGCTAGCTTTTTTATACACCTAGGACCACTTGCCCAGAGGATAGTGTCACCCATAGTGGCTTGGCCCTCTTAAATCAACTAACAATCCATACAATTCCATCAGTCATACCCACAGACCAATCTGGTCTGGGAAATCACTGAATTAAGACTGCCTTCTCTGATGACTCTAGGCTGTGTCAAATTGACAAAACACCAATGCCAACCTTGGGTCTCCTTATGTACATACATGTGCCTGCACCCATACACACATGCATCCACATGTTTGCACAAACACATATACACATGAATGCACATCATACTCAGATGCATATGCAAAATATTGTGGGAAATCACAATCGATCCATTGATCTTTTCTAGTTTATGTTAATTCCTTTCAACTGTGTTCCTTATTGGCACATTAGGCTCACTATCCTATATTCTTCCACGTTGATTCACCTTTGCATTCTGGAATAAGTTTTAGTTGGCTTTTGTATTATTGATATTTCAGACCCTAAAATGATTTAATTTGTTGACACTTTGTTTTTAAATTTCCATTTTTAATAATTTATAGTTTTGTCTATGTTTGTTAATTATTTCATGCTATGTCTTAAAGATTTGCTATTATAATGCAATCAATAACTTGAAAGTCAGATCTGTTCATAATTTATTTGATTCATTTAAGAATATAGTCAGTTCTACATATTCTTTAGGTGAAAACAATAAAAAATAGTCTAGTTATTGAATACACATATATCTTCTTGTTATTACCTAAACAATATCATAGAGCAACTATTTATCAGCACTAACAGCATATTACATATTATAAAGAATATAAGATGTTTTAAAATATATGAGAAGGTCATTTCAATATTGTGTCATTTTATACTGGAGACTTGAATATCCACAAACGTAAGTATCTGCAGAATGTCCTGGAACCAAGTCCCTGAAGATGCCACTTGGCTGTGTAATTCTAAAAGAAAAAAGAGCAGCCCATTACCACACAGTAGGAAACAATGGAATTTTTGTTCTGAGACTTTCCATTGCTGAATATTGTGACCCAATTTTATTGTTTCACCTGTATTATATTTAGACCTAAAAATAGATTGTAAGGTATGCATTGTTACCTTTTACCCTCAAGCAGAACTGCTGAACTTCAGTGAAATGGCATAGTTTTCTCAACATCACGTTGCTAGGAAGGGAAAACCTTTGGATTCAAATTCAGTTTAACATAATTCAAGCTTTCTGCTCAATACCACCAATAAAAAGGATTTACTAGCAAAGCTTGGAGCGGGAAGGAACAGGAAGAACTTAGCAACTCACCAATTAGAGTTACAATACTGACTCTACTGCTACTCTGTGTAGCTGGAAGTGAGTTATCAAATGTAGATTCCTGTCTTTGACATCTCTGGACAATGTCTGTCTTGCAGCATTACCTGGAGAACCAGAGTAGAGGACCCATGTCAAGAAGAACTTTCCTATTGCAGGACAGAAAACTGGGAGTGGAGCAAGAAGGCCCCTTTTTCATTTCAGGGAGAAACTCAAGTTGGAAGATTTTAACCCAGTTTCCAGCAGAGTTTCCTGAGACAGTCTCAACCCTATTCAAATTGTGTGACACCAGAAGGGCATCTCTGTCTGGCACTTCCTGGTCATTTATTAATGGGAGCTGTGGGTCTAGTCGCA